AAAAACAACAATGCGGTAGCAGCCAGTCATTGACCGCTTCAGTGAGCCGTAAGCGCGTTGTTATGGCACTCGTACTCGTACTTGAGCTCGTGCACGTAAATTGGCCAGGCGTCAGGCGGCAGCAGGTGGCGGAAACAGCAACAATGAGGACAACGACAACGACGATGGCGAATAGCGATATGACGGAAAATGTGCACACTTCATGTCTGCTTGAAAATTGTTGGTTGATGCTGTCGCTGATTGCATATGCTCGCACTTACCCACGTTAGGCTGGGTATTCTGGTGCAATCTCTGGCCTTTGCCATGACCATGCTTCCGTCAGAGCTTACTTGCATCCAAAGTATTTAACCAGAAATCGCAACTTTTTGAGAATTTCGAAATAATACCCTATGTTAAGTGACTCGTTATAAATTAAAAAACAAGTTATAAAGATTTTCAACCACCCTAATATTCACACCCACATATACCTTTTTTGCATCGTTCTCGAGGACCGACGCTGCCTGTGACACCACTGCTGTTCCAAATGGCAATGTTGCACATTAAAAACGATAACAATACCCACCAGACCGTTCGCTTAGTGCTCCCAGCAAAAATGGTCCTTTAAGCATAAGTGAGTGTGTGTGAGTGGATGATAAATTCAAACTGACACATTTATTTCGCACAAATTTCACTCGGAAACGTAAATGTTCGTTCGTTCTGCAGAGGCGAGGCCTGTGAGTATGAAGATATGCCGTAAAATGGGCCGGAATTAAATGCGGTAGAGCTTTACTAATTCATTTTATGTGGCAAGTATTCTAATTTTATTTGGAAATACGGTTTTAATTGCCTAAATAACGGAAATAATAAGTTTTATATGAATGACTTGTCTTCCTTAACTCAATATATCTGACATAACTGCTAAAAGAGGTTTACTTAGAATTGTTGACGGGTGTCTAAAATGGAGGTTTGTGTTTGAGTACCTCGCTTCGTATTTGGAAATGAGTTGCAGTATCAGTCAGTAATCACCAAAATATATATGATGTAGCAACTGAAAGAATTTCGCTTTCATCAGAGCGATGATTACGGCGATGAAAAGACCAAATTGAAAAGAAATTTTGTTTTTTTTGCATTAATTTTCATTAAACGCTTTCAGATGAGAATTACTGCCAAAAGCGATTGAAGGAGAAGCAATGTAAAACAAAATAATTAATGATATGATACAATGAAGTGGCCCTGGTAAATAGAAATAATACAAGTAGTAACCTTGAATTCAATCTCGGCGAAAAGAAGTTTAGAAAATTTGCTCTCTTTTGTGAAGAAGACAATTTAGACATACCTCTACCTCAAAAGCCAGAAAACAAGAGCCCTCGCCGAGCTCACTCAATTTAATTTTATACAAAAGTGCCAAAGACAATTAGTTTGGTCATTGTCGCTGCCGAAAGTGAAAACAAATAATTTGACAAAGCGAAATCCCTTCTGTTCGCGCACGAATGCCAGCAGCGAATCGTTAGGCGAGAATTCGGCAAAGGAATTAGTGTGTTTAATGAAATTATTTCTTTGTTCTGACAGCGGATTTGTGCATACCGCGAAAATTTGGCGCGTAATTGGATGGAATTGTAGACGCATTGAAGCGAATGAAATTAAACAAAAACCACAAGTGCAGGCGTGTGTGTGTGTGTGTGCGCACTAGTATGCACTCAAGTACTTACACATGTAAAGCTGGATGTAAAAGCTATAAAAAAATCCACAGTAATCCGATTAGTTGCGTCATACTCTTATCTTTACCACATACTATATGGTATACTACGCTTTTTAATATACGAGTACATGTGTGTTTAAATATCAAGGAGTATATCCTGCCTCGACCCAAAAGGATTTAAATAGCTTTTTTTATTTTGGTTTAAATTTGCAATGCTGCTATAAATGTATATGTACATATATGGACAAGTATACTCTACTACTCTTGTAAAGATCATTATTTATGCAAACTTCGCAAAAAAAAATATTTGAATGTGACCGTAGGCATAAGTAATTACAAGATGTTCTTATAAAATTAGGAAAGATCTCATTTCATGGCTTTTAGTATTTTACTCCCTAGCTGCTTTTATAAAAAAAGCCGGAATATTTATGGTAAACACGTAAAGCTTTGTGTGAATATATTATATGCATTTCCATGTCTATAATTCTTGATAATTTTGAAGTAATATTTTGTTGACTTTACTTATAGTCGCATAGTTTTCTCCACATAATCTCTACCTTATTCAGAAAGAAATAATCGATTACAAATTTGTATTTGCCATCTCTCTATAAAAGAAATTTTAATATTGTGCATATGCTGCTGAGCTGATCAAATTTGACCCGGACTGAAATCACTTTCACGCGTTTGAATACAAATCCTAATCATCGCCTTAAAAAAAGAAAAATGGGCTTGATTCAATTATCCACACTTACTATAAGTCTTGTTGAGAGGGGTCCCAGCTACATTGTCAAGCATTTCTTTTGTTTCCTCTACTCAACGTCGCAAATGCAAAATATTCAGATCTTCTGGTACGAGTCTATTATTGACACACTTCATATGCAAAACATTGATCAAACTTTTTTGATGTTATCGTCATTAACCAGGGGTGTATTAACAGAGCTGGCTAGCATGCCGCAAGTTTTCGATGGTTTAATAACCTGCACTGCATGCTTAGGCACACTAAAATATTTGTATTCGTGATAAAGTTGACTACCCAAAAGACTCCTGCAACATTTTTAACGAAAAATGTTTAACAAAATTTTAAGCAAGTCGGTTATTTTCTTTAGATAATTCAACTGAATAAAATGAGCCAAATTTGAAACATCTTTCCTCAAGAAAGATGAAATTCTAAAAAACTTTTAAAGAAGTAAGAAAGTAAAAAATAATATTAATTCCCAATAAAATATCGCCACGTTCTCAGCGATCGAATTTTTTGTTGTTGTTGCATGCCATAATCAATTTATCTTGTTCACTTGGTGATCCGCAAGCAATCGGCTTGACTGCTGCCTGGTAGCCGCCAGCCACTGTTTCAAGGCGTGTGCAACAACAGTTGCAGCAACTCGCTCACAAATGGCATTACAGGAAGTGCAACAGTGAAGTGCAACAGAAAAATGCAAGCACAACAAACGCGACAAAGAAACAAAAACAGAGACAGCAACAATGCAAAATAAAACTAAAAGTGGATTAGATGTGCTGGACGTGAGCTGGAAACGGAGGCAATGAGGTAATTTTGTGTTACACGAAAACGTGATGTTGACCAGTTTGAGCAGCAAATAGCGGCAATGTAATCGCCTTGGCTACTTGGCTACCGTTGCGCATATTTCGTTCGTTCGTTGTTTTTTCATGTTGTTGTGGCGTGTAGCAGCAACTGTTGCACGCCGTACAAGTGCAGGCATCTCGGGGCAGATAATGGTACAAATCTGTGGTCAAACAACATGTGTGTGTGTGTATGTGTGAGTGCGCTTTAGTAACAAGCGATTTGCAGCTTGTTCGGCTTGCCTACAGTCCGTTGTACGTTGGTGGGCTCCCGAACGGTTTCTGGCTCAAACGCACAACTCTCTGGTACAAGTGGAGCGACCGTAAATGGCGATGTCAGCGTGTCAGCGAAGCGTCAGCGAATTAACATGCTCAAATGTATGCACGTACTCAATAAGTTTGAAGCACGATCAATCTCAGTGCACTAAAAACCGTTAAGCGAAAAAAATTCGAGATTGAGATGAGGCTTAAGTACAGTATCTGTATTGATATATAATATTGTGTATTCATACTCAAATTTCGTGGCACTGTCGCCCACCAAATATTCTCCTTAAAAATTCCTCAATATTCTAAACCTATTCCAATTCTATCGACTTCATTCAACCGTGAATTGCTTTCACTTTTGACAATTTATAATTAGATTGGCTTTGGTCTTATAGCCCATCGACCCAGAGTCAAAAAAGCGTGTTATTACCCTCCCTCCTCCACTTTATCCTATTCATCTGCAGCTCATTTGCATTTGGAAGTTTAATCGAAAATCGATAATTGTGACTGTAAAGGACGCCTGTAAATGTGTGAAGGATACAACAAGCAAACAAACATTTTCACGAGCATGTACTGCTCTCTTGTTTCATAGGCGTATATTGTGAGCATACGGTAAGAATATATGTATGTACTTAAACGACCTTTGAAATGTGGTAGAATCTATTATAAGCACATTTACTACCAAATATATATTAAAACAATCTTTAGAAATAGTTTCGGACGCAAATTTCATATTTTTTAGATAGACCCTAAATGTAGGCAACAATTTACTTATTGGTGTGAATGGTGCCTCACTTCATAAATCCTGTTACGTTGTTTAGTCGAATGTGTTTTTCAGCGCTCTTTGCTAAAGCTAGATATTACGTAAAAAAATATTTTTCTTCTAGATTTTTGACATACCTAAACGGAAACATTTAGCGCAAATATTTCCTCTTACCAATTTCCTCATTGACTTTACGCAACTCTGTATTTAATCATATTCAATCCACTCTGGTGTAATTGCTACCCTGCCATGTTTCTGTGCTTGCATTGTCATCGTGCTATGATCGGTAAACCGTGAGTGAGGTGTCTGCTTGCCTGCTTGAGTTAAGCCGGAAGTTAACTGCCTGTTACTATCACAATTTATATAATTGTTGGTGACTACTTGTGCAATTACAGCGTCAATTGTTATCTCACTCCTTTTTTTGTTGTTTCCTTAAGTTATTACATTCGTTTGTGCTTTAGTGTTGACTATTAATTTTTAGAGTAAAATTGTTTTTTTCAAACAAGTGGTTTATCATTAAGCAAATTATTGACTAAAATCAATCTGAAATACATTTTGAAGGAAATTGCTGATATCAATCATTTGAATAAGCAAAATGTTTTGTGTTGTGAGTACTGCATTCTTCGATTAATTGTTTTTACAAGTGAGGTTAAAGAACTTTCCGTAAAAATTTACCACCGATTTTTAATAAGCATCTTTTCCCTTCCTTTATACTTTCAGCCAAAAAGCAAAATGGTGCTGCCCTGCGTACAAACAGTCTTGGCTCCGGCACACGCACACCCCCGCTCGAGCGTAAAAGCAAGTTGAGTGCTTTGGGGCGATTCTTTAAGCCGTGGAAGTGGCGGCGGAAAAAGAAGAGCGAAAAATTCGAAGCAGCTTCCAAGTGTAAGTACCAATAAACTACCTCTTAGCCTTAGTACGTATGTATGTGTGTACAAATGTCTTAACTACTTGTCGTAAGGCTAATTTAAGCCACTAGCACACCAACTAATTCACACACTAATCCGCACACTATTTCTTACACTAACACCACGAAATTGGCAAAGGGAAAAATTATTTTTTTTTTCAAAAGCATTAAAGACGCTTACGCTCAAACTCACCATTACTTTTTACTTCTTCTTTTTCTTTGGATTTTTGTTTCTGCATTACTTTTATTTTATTTTCGTTTTCGGCTTGGCTTTTTTATTTTATTTTATTTTGTTTTTTATTTCATTTTATCGCTAACAACAACAACTTGCTTGATCCACTACCCGATTTCTCGTTTGCTCCGCAGCACTTGAACGCAAAATATCGGTACGTGCCAATCGTGAGGAGCTTGTGCAAAAGGGTATACTGTTGCCAGAGAGTCCACTGGGGAATATACAGGAGCCAGGTGAGTAAGCGGATGCGGAGCAGGTGCGGACGCAGGCGTTGAATATGCTCGAGCTTCCCCTCGTAGTAGGATTTATGTCATACCACTGAAATATCTGTCGAATGCAAAGCGCTCTTATGCAAAAATAACGGAATATTAATGTGTGCAATTGCGTTCGTTGCATGTGCTCATAGCTATATGTTAGAGAGAGAGAGAGAGAGAGAGTGAAAGTGGGAAGCGTTTGTGCTACTGAAACTGTTGCATTATTTTAGGCGCTGTGGCAAGCAATCGGTTTAACTGCTCCTTCAGATTTGATAAATATGCACGAACTCTGTATGCTTGTAGTTCGCTGCCATTAATATGCAACGCTTTAGCTGCAAGACTCTCATACTTGACACATGTACCCCTATTAGGGAAGACGGTAAATAAAATTCTTAGACAACACTATGCACTCTTAAAAAATGAATTTTGTGATTATGTTGTGTCCTAAAACATTGTGTCCAGTAAACATGTTCCGATATCTGATGCTTGTGTTTTGTTTTGAAGACACCCTGTACTAAAATAATTTTTAATTTTTTAACTTTTATGATGCTTGTTTCCATTTCCTGCACATTTCATGTTTCAGTTTACGTTTTTCCTTTGTACAAATTTGTACTTGTGTTGATTGGTTTCTCAAAGACACTGGCGCTTCAGCGAAATATCTTCAAAATTTTATACCATCTGATCAAATTTGACCCGGAATGACAAAAAAAAGAAGCACATTTTTATGTATTTTAATATTTTTTTTTTACCGCTCACAAAATAGGCTCGTGAGTCAATACAAGCATGCCAACGCTTAACCCAATTTTTCATGCACTTGCAATAAGATTCAGGTCTTTTGATACGAGTCTAGTATTGACACTCTTTATCTTTAACTTTTTCGATATTATCGTCATTTACGGAGGTGGACGGACAACACGCATGAGCTTTCGATGACTTCACGACCTGCACTGAATGCTTGGTGCTACTCAAATATTTGTATTCGTGATAAAGTTGACTACCCAAAAGAGTGCCGCAACCATTTTAACGATTTCATTGGAAAAACAATATTTTCAGTAAAACAGTTTTTAAAATTAAAACTCTATTGCACCACATCCTAATGTATAACTACGAGAAAGTGTGCACACAATAATTCTGCAAGCTTATTTTTGCAGGCATCACGTTTGACTTTGTTCAGATAAGCAAAATAGTACATTATCTTACCTACCTTGCAACGTTGCATTCATACAGGCGCTAGAACTAATGAGGGCGCCTGCACACGCGCTAGAGTTGTGAATTATCAACAAATGCTAACTTCGCCGTAACTTCAGTTTGAAGAAACATTGTGAAGAGCAAAAAATTAAAATTTACTGTAAAGAGAAATAGGCGAAGTGCACTTTACTGTGTGCTTTGTATACTTGTGTACATCTATTTTCAATAAATATAAGTATGTATCTACATTTAAGCACTTTGCCATTTTTATACGCTTCGGCATACGATACCACTCGCACACTTGAAAGTAAGCTTAGCAAGCTCTCCGCTCTGCAGCTTTTAAGCCGCTTCTAAAATGCTTTTTCATATATTTGGATGTTTTATGGTCTTAAAGTGTCTTTTTGCAATAAATAAAAATTAAAGGAGATTTTTCGGGCTGGAGAGTAGTTTTCAGCTCCAACACGTTCCACACGTTCCGTAATTCCACACGTCGCTCTTAAAGTATGCGCGCTATTTTTTTGCCGACTTGGTTGTCAATTTTTAATTGCATGCAAAGTGCATTTCTGATTCGCTCACCACGTTTTCACTTTGCGCGTTTCTTTCTCGATTCAATTTGCTTTAACTGACTGCATACATGCTATCGGACTATGACAGGCAGGCAGAGCTCGCACATGTGTACATATCGGCAAGAGGTTAGTGAGGATAACCTAGCCGGGCATACCGCTGTCAGTCATAATCAAATCACGTCTCGACACGCCACGTCAGCTGATTCACGTTGAAGAACCTTCTGATGAAGTGCTGGCATCCGTGGCATGTAGGCGACGAAAATGGAAATGTAATGAAAGCACAAACAATATTTTTTTGACCCTGAAATTGAAAGTCAAAGCAAATTTTAATATTCCCTTGATTCGTGAACATTTTTACTCACATACTGAATTGGGAATTTCAAGGTCATTGCTCAGTAGAAGGTGCCGGAGTTTAGTATTAGCGTAGATTCTTTATAGAATATTTTTCTTATTTTATAACTTTTTTCCTTATTTACTACAATATGAAATATCTAGGAAAGAGTTTGAAGCTATTATGAAAAATGTTAAAAAATTCTTTTCTTCTGAAGATTTGAAATAGATCCTATCTCAACTTTCATATAAAATGCTTAAATTCATGCGTGTTTTTATAATTGCATCGCTGAGCGGCAATTAAATGCAATTAATTCAAAGATGGTGAGAATACAATAAAACTGTGCACTAGTTTCATATTGAGTGTCATTTAAAGCTCTTAATATTTTTTAGTACCGCTAAACACCAACAGATGGCGCCATACAAACTAAAGCTCGCAACTTAAAGCTCCCATTTGCCAATCAAGCTTTTCTCTCAACTTGTATTCTATATATATACTTACATCTGTTCACATTACAGTTAGTTAGCGTTTTGCAAATGCAACTGTACATAAGCTTGGAACTTTATGTTTGTCACTTTCTCACACACCTCTCCACTCCCACAGGTGAGGATGCGTACTTCAATTCAAATGCTAACACATCCAACAACATCGCCAACGGTTCCATCCTTTCCGCCGCCAATAACAATAACAACAACAATAACAGTAATGGCGGCGCACTTCAAAATTCCATAAACACCACCACGGCTGGCAGTGCCGGGGGCGCACTCATTAGCCAGCAGCAGTTGCAACAGCAACAGCAGCAACAACAGCAGCAGCAGCAGCACCAAATGGTGAATGTACCAACATCCATATCTGTGCAACAGTTCAATGCAATGAACGGTGGCAACAACAACAACGGCAGTAATAGCGGTGTCGGTGGTGTAAACAATTCTAGTGGTAGTAACGGCCAGAATGGGGGAGGCGGCGACGTTTCACCCATGTCGAACGTGCCGCACTCGCAGTCGGCACCGCACCAGCTGGGGCAGCCGCCGCCGCAAACACCTCTGGCGCAGCATCATCAGGCGTTAGCGCAACAGTTGCAGCAACGATTTGCCATAAGCAATAATAACGGTGAGTAAGCTTTCCGCTTACTGTCGAGCAATGTAGTGGAACCTCAATTTGAGTTTGGCCTCTCACTTAAAATCTCGTTTCGTCTATACTTATACATGTTTTATATTGTTTAAGGCACATGTATTGAGGTACCACTGTGCTCCACTACATATTTGTTTCAATGTATTTGTATCAGAGCCGTGCTATTAATCACTTTTTTGTTGTTTTCTTTTTGCAGGTAAGTTTCATTCAATTACCAAGTTAATAAACCAGCAAAGCGGTGAGTTTACGAAATAATTAAAAACTCACTACATATTCCTACGCACGTACGAAACCCGGTTGCTGTGGTTAATATAATTAAGAATGAGCTGATAAGTATCGTGTCATTTTCACACTACACAAACTTCAAATTATCGCTTAAAATTACCCACTCGCTTTCGAAATAGTTGGAGATAAAAACCATAAAAATTCTACAATCGGTAAATTCCTTAATTAAAAGGGGTAGCGGTTAAATAGGTGAAAAAATCAAAAGAATTTTCTTATCATATTTCAGTGAAATATACCAAAAAATTTTGCTGTTTGTTGTTCTTCTTGCTTATTTTTTTATTTTTTATTTTTTTTATTGATAAAGGAAAAATGTAATCGAGGTATATCTTGGGTTTGATGAAAGTAACGAAACAACTGTTTTAAAATTTAACTTTCTATAGAAGATGTTCAAATTAAAACTTTTAACATGTGGCAACATTTCGCAAAAGTTTTTCCTTAAATCTCCTTGCTTTGATGTCCAAATTATAATATTTCGGTAATCTGTCAAATATCATAGAATTCAGCTTTTAAAGATGTGACAACCGACTATAGCTATAAGCTTTCTAAACATATATTCGTGTGGTTGTTGTGGGGCTTACCTTCAATTTCTTTTTACTTACAAATTTCAATCAAATTGCAATTTTCTGGCAGTGGTTTCAAAAACCTAAAAAAATTATCCTTTCTAATATTGTTTTACGCTTGAATATCAACATTTCCAATTCTCAAAGCAACTCGCAGTTAATCTACTACATAATTTCACACACGCACACATATATGCGATGCAATGCAGTGAGCAGGATTGCATGGAAAGGCCTACTTTTAGGGGAGCATCAGCGAAGACTCTCCGTTGGAGTACGCTATAAAAATGTTGCTCATACGCTGCGGGGTGCTCTGGCAGGAGTGCGAACAAACATTTGCGCAATGTTTATTTTGCATTCTGCTTCGTCTGCTGTTTCGCATTTTACCGCTTTTTACTTAATGCTTCTTGCCTTATGCGTTCGCCATACGCTTCATTACTTTTTCGTCATAAATACATACATACATATGTATGTATATCCACATTTGTGTATCCTATCGAGCAGCTCCTGTGTGCAGATAACCGGTGATGGCATGCGAAGTCATTTCATGAAGTTATATTGAAGAGTGGCCAGCGAAAACTGATGAAATGAATGAATGGTGGCACGAACCAATGGACTGGAGATGGACATCGGTTGAATAATGACTGAGGGTGTAATACATTAACACACGTGCGAAAGTCGTCAAATGTATCCATTTTAGTACTTGTATATTATCTGATGTGAGCACACATATGTGGTTGGAGTTAATGCATAGAAAATGTATATGCAAATCTGATGAACCGTTATGGTATGCAAAAGCGTGCCGCTTGTTTTCATACTCAAGAGTAGTATATTTTATTTTTATCCATGGGCAATATGTTTAGCTGAAGAAATTGTAAATGCAAAGTTGGCTTAAGTTGAGGCATATTTTACAGCTATAACTTCTGGCTTTAGCATGCTCTAGCTTACTATTGTCAGTTAGAATACACTTTTAGCAGATGATGCACTTTATGGATATTTATTTGTTTAGTCATTTATTTATTACTATTTCTATTATTTATTTTTTCGGTTAACGTTTCTCTACTGCTCGTATTTTTCATATAAACATATTTAATATACATATACGTAAATATGTTTGCATATATGTACATTTGTATGATATGTATTACCTAAATTTTCCAGTTTTTTTCTACAAAAATTATTGCCTTACATTATTTGTTTTGGAAATTTTTGATTTCTATTTATATGGTAAATACCAGATGCATATTTAACCAAATCACTTTTGCTGTTGTGGCTGACAGATACACACACACATATCATGTACATTGCATCAAGTTTTATCGCAACAACTTGAATAATTGTTTGTTTTACTGCGTATCGCACAACAGTTCGGACAAGCAGATAAGCATCAGCTATCAAATAACCATAAAATTAGCATTTCACCAGTAAAGCACATAAATGTCATAACATACATGCCGATACACACATCCACGCATAAAGTTTTCAAAAATAGTTTGGCCAATAAAACGGTGGATTCACTAAGCTCTGGAGTAATCAAAACACATATGTCAACACCTAGGACATCCTTAAGGGGCACACCTAGTGTGACAGCCTAAAAAGCGTAGAAAAAAAAAGAAAGTACGGTTAAGGAAATCAAAACAAATTTGTCCAGCGGTTTTTAAAAAAAGTTGAATGTAACCCGAAATTTTGGTCAGAATTCGATTTTTGATTTGATCAAAAAACTGATAAGTTATTGTATGTAGAATTATATACGGAACAGGTAAGAAAGGATAATCGGATCACATGTTTTCGAGTTGTCTGCAGCAAATTCGAAAATAAGGCTTTACTCCTTAAATGGCTGTAACACAAATACTATTTGAGATATCGTAAATGTAAAAAAAATTTTTTTTCAAAATTTCACACTAGGTGTTCCCCTTAAATAAATATGCACATATGTCTCAACTAGTACGTATCTATTATCTACATATATTATATGTTAGATGAATCCAGGAATATTGAAAAACACAAAATAGCTCAAAGTGCTAGAATGCAGAGTATAATAAATATAATACCAGTTATACAAGTAATAACAACAACCAAGGTCTAGCGCCAAAAAGGCTTTATGGTGCCCCGGTGAAGTCCAAATTCTATTTCTCTTTTAACAATAGCGGTGAATACAAGCAATGGGCTAGTTAGCTTTGAGAGTAGCTAAACTGTACAGGCTTATACTATTATCAATTTAAACTTTCGTGTTCCATCTATTATGACACCTTTGAGAACAAATTGCAAAATTCCCGAAAGGATTGTGTTGTCGATTATGTGATTCAAGATCTCGTTGATGCTAGAGAGTAATGTTATGCTTGGTTTTTGGTTTTCTGCAACCTTATGGAAGAAGAACTCTTTAGATCAGTTTGTATATGGCATAGGCCAAGTCAAACGCCGCACGCTGGTTAGTGCATCCATGTAAGAAATAAGAAAATAGAATGCAAAAAAATTGGACGCCCCCAAAAGACAACAAAATGCAATACACAAAGTAAACATAAACAATAAAAGCGGCAAATAGAAATAAGCAGCAAATTCGAAAAATCGCTGAAAAGCCGAGTACGATTTACAGAATACAACAATAAATGACTAACGGTAAGTGCCGACGCGCGTCATTTGTCCGATAATTTGTTTATATTCAATAACCACATATACACCCTCATAGAGAGGCAATATGCGTATCGGTATCTCCATGTTTTTTTCTCAATTTTCTTTTGTGCGCATATTCTTAAACGCCAGTTCATCGGTATGCGGGTGGGCGGTTAGGTGGCACAGCTTGTGCGAGCGCTTACAGTGGGTAGAGTGGCGCCTTTTATAGTATTTTCCTCGACTTGCTCTCAACGCGAAATTGCGCTCTTCGACTCTCACAAATGTTGTTGGCATTAAGTGTTGCTGTTGCGCTGTATTTTTTTGTTTGTTGATTAAATTAGTGGATTTTTCAAGTTGGCTATTGGAAATAGTTATAGAATTTTTTTGATCATATTCTAACATAAAAGTCTTCTTATCGGAGGAAATATATGTATATATATATTATTAATTTTTAATATAATTAGTTTCGAACATTATTGTGAAATCATATCACAATTCAATATTTCTTTAAGAATTTGATAATTTTCTTTAACATGCAATCTGAATTCTGTTGCTGTGGCAACTCTTTACTTGCCATCGCTTTTTGGCGAGCATGTTTTCGTTCTATCAGAGACGTCAAGCAGTGGACTCTACGCTCAAAATTTTGATTATTGCCGTTGCTGTTATTGTATTTGCTCATTTATGGTAGAATTCGTGGAAGCGCGCATTTAGCGCTCTCAATGCGCCCGCAATCGTCAACGGGTCAGTGAAAAATACATTCAGTTGACATCCGAAATACGTTGGAGACGTACAACAGTGGCGGCGGCGACTATAGCAACGCGCAAACGACGATGACAAACTGATTAATGTGAAAAGTGCACAATTTGTTGTGGTGATGGCCAACTTATTAATTTTCCAACTCACGCTGGTGTGCAAAAGTTAATTTTGCTGTGCTGCACGGCGCGTGCAACCACCCACCAACCGCAATATATAACGGAACCACAGACCCTTGGTGCTCAGTGCGTCGAACCGCTGAAGTCAGAGTTGTAATTTCCATGTGATGCCAAAGTGTTTGTGTGTGCTTGTGGTCACTCGTTCTCTGCGTCGTGTCTAAACGCGCCTGGCGAAGGAGACGCATGTGAAAGGGTCGAAAATAGAAAAGTGAGCAAACAAAGTGCATGGAAAATCAGCGAAAAAGATTTCGCGAACATTTTCTGAAGTCAGGGAACATGCCTTAAAGTATTAATAGCTATAAATAACGGAAAATTAAGCGGTTTAATGTGTATGCATATAAAATTTTTCTGAATAAATTTGTATTAAATGCGCGAAAAAGTGTGAAGCTATATATTATACTTAGCCACTAAGTTAACACACCGATTTAGCAATAATTTTTACTCGTTGTTGTTATAGTGCTCGTGGAGTGTACTAACTAAGTTCCATAACACACAACCGGCAATAAAAACTAAATCAGAAATGGTAAAATGAAAAAGTTGCAATACAACACCAATAAAAACAACTAAAATACATGAAAACACTGTCGCTGAAATG